CTCATAACTTCTAATATATCAATAGATAGATTGTTATAACATGTTTGGAGGATGAAGTCCTTCGTGATCGGATCTCGGTAGTTCATCGCCTTATTCCAAAAACGTTTGATGAAGTCGTCGACCGTCTCTTTGTCTTCCTGTTTCTCCTCAAAGAGTGTCCTGATGGATATCTCGGCGTCATCGTCAAAGAAATCACCGAGGAATAAGATCTCCATATCATCCCAGTTATTGATACTTCCAAGCTTGAGATGGTGGTACTAATCGAAGGTAGGCCCGCGAAGGGTGCCGAGGAATGACCGAACCATCAAGGCTTCATTGTCGAAGATCATGCCCAAGTGAGACTTGAAGTAGATCAGATGTTGAGTAGGGGAGCCCTTCCCGTCAAATGGCGTGAAGTTGATCAAGTTGAACTTAGCCGGATACAGGATCAACTCCCACTCTCTCGGGTAAGAACACGGAATGCTGGTCCTTTTCACCTCTCGAGCAGACATTAGAGCGTTAATTTTGCTCTCGATGTCTTTCATCTTTTTGTCCTCGTCTGTATCATGCTTTGGTCGATTTTGAGGAGGAACAATAGGGCCACCCCCAGTGTTATCATCATTGGTAGGACAACTCCTGACGTTGTTATTCTTAGTAGGGCCAGCCCTAACATTTTGGTCAACGGGAGGATCATCAGCATTGATGTATCCATCTACGTCTGAATCGCTAGCTGCTTGGCTAACATTGTTACGACAGTTGGATTCACCTAGCTGATTCGATAAGGCTTGGATCTGTTGGTCGTGCATTTGTCTCATCTCCTGTATAGCCATTTCCATTTTGATTTTGAATGCTTTCTGCTTAGCTAGAACATCCTCAACCATTTTGGCCACTTCTTTGGTGTTAATCATTAGTGCCTCACGGGATTGTCCTGGGCTGGATGTCGTATTGTCAGAAGCGATTGCGGAGTTGACATCTGACGCTTCATCATCCGAGGATAATCCTCTCTGCATTCTCTGATAGTCTCTACGTCTAGTAGTTCCCATGCGTAACCGAGTTATATGTTGGGATACGTCCGAAAAATGACGGGGACTAAAACTTTGTGTTGACTTCCCTTTATCGACCATATTGATAGTGACCTCTGGGAATTCGTCATCTTGCGTAGCTGATATTTTTCTACGGAAACACCTTGGCTTAGTTGTCAATGCTTCAGAGGAAAGACTTTGGAATACCGAGATCCTCTATAGAGCAGCCTTGGGGTAGCTACACACTGATAATACTACCCTGATAAGCTCGGCACACGAATAATGAAAGTCCATTTCCCGGGTATCTCTCTTTCGAGATCTATTCATACCCCCAGCCTGATAGTGCAACTCATCAATATGATGACCGGAGCAATCTATCGTGTATTGGCACGACTTCTCAGGTATAACGTTGTTATCTGAAGAACACGTTTACTTCTGAGGATTCGTTGCCTTGTTGGTACTCTCAAGAGTCATACGTTTTGAGCTACGCCTTCGTGAGCGTGGGACCTTAACAGGCTCTTGGACTTTGACACACAGTTTGAGGTGGTCAGTTATAGGAGTTTTCTCCTTACAAGAAGGCTCAGACTTGTTTCAAGGATGAGTATGACCCCTAGCGCGATGAGTTGCTCGGGGTTCATTCACCATGCCTAAGTGTTTTTCGATCACAGATCTATTTCGATCTTCATGTAGAGGACCCAGGTGATCCTTCAACAGAATTCTAGATTTTGAGAGATCCATGCTGTCGTCAGGCTTCACCGAAGGTGCGGGAGCAATAGGAGCGGGATCTGAAGTTGGTGAAGGCTGAGGAACAGCGTCGGATCTGGAATTGAGCAAGAGACACGTTTGGTGTCTCTTGTCGGGTAGAGGTGCTGTTTTGACCTTCAGCACCCAAACCTGTTTATCTCTTGGTGGTTTCTTGATCACCTCCTTCTGCTGCAATTTCTGAGTTCTTGTGCGAGAATGCATGCGTGCGCAAGTAGTGCGCGATGTTTCTGGATATGCTCCTCGAGAGTAGAACGGGTTCGTTTGACACGAACCTATTTGTTAGTTGACGATTAGGAGGAGGACCCTGATGCTTGTTGTGGTGATGGCTTAGCCACTTGGCGCTTTCTGAACTCTAGATCTGCTTGGTAGCGATGTCCGTCCACTTGCTTCAAAACCTTGGCAAACTGACGAGCAAGACGTTGACGATGCCTTTGACGAGCCCTCTTCGACAAATTTGACACGCCTTCAACAGTCGACTCCTTAATTGAGGAAGAGTTCAGATCTGCAGATCTTTCTTCATTAGACGTTGGTGGATCATTGCGAGGTGCAACTACAACAACAACGGTCGAGAGATCATATTCTTAGGTCTTCAGATCTGAAGACCAGCGGATCTTCCTGGAGGAGGAGGCCTTCCTGCACTTGCAAGGAGAGGCGGATCTGGAGGAGGAGAAGGATACGTACTCCTAGAACTTCTGTTGGTCGAATTCATACTCGACCTCTTCGTTCATCGGGGTCTTGATCGCTGGTTACGTTACGACAGCCTCGACAGAGAGGCTGTTGGCTCCCACTGTGGTCGCCAGCTTGTTTGGGTGGGAAATAGATTTCTTCATTGTATAACTTATTACAACTTTAGTCATTACAACAAGTTAAAAAAAGATCGGTCCTTTTATAAGACCTTTACACAATAAAATTAAAATTACAATCTCCTTCAAACAAATGCAACGGGTGTTTATCGCCCACTGCTTGCATGAGATCTTTACCTATGACGGAGACGTTGATATCGGTAGAGCACCAAACGATCAGATTAGATCCAGAGCTTCGTTGATTCGTGAAGGAATCAAGAAACCGAAGCAATTATCTCGACAACAACAAGATAATCACTCTTCTTGAGATCACCGCAACAGGGCAATCTCAAGAGAAGGAACCGGGCTGCAGATCTAACGAACTCCTCTTCTTTATGCCGAAGAATTCACTGATATCTCCTCTTCCTCTCTGAAATTCGTGGCTCTTCAGTCCTCAGTTCGGCAGGGCTTCTCCAACGCTCGAGAATTCCAGCTCTGAAAAAAATAAAGGCCCTGGTGCTATATTTATAGGCTTAGGGACCCCTATTTCGGATAAGAACGATTGATTTGATCTTATATTTAGTTGTAACCACTTAACCATGTTCATGGATGATATCAGATCAATTGAAACAAATCCAGAAGGTTAACGGTAGAAAAAACGACTTTAAACTGCCAAAATCTTATTTTCAGGTCTGCGGACACCTGTGGGTGTCTCGGCCTGGCCGAGACACTTGTGGGTGTCTCGGCTTGGACGAAACACCAAGGGATGTCTCGGCTTGGCCGAGACACCATGTTGTGTCTCGGTCAAGCCCGGAACGTAGTTCTGCTTGTCTTGTCCGTTTCAGCCGTATTTTCGTTGTCCGAACTCGGAATTGTGCGATTCAAGATGCGTCAGAAATCTGTCGAGAAGAACTACAAGCTCCTATGATTGAATTATCTGTAGAGTGGACGGGACACGGGGGGTGTTTCGTCTTTCGTAAGTAACACGGAGCTCCCGATCAGTTCGTGTTTCCGTTATTCCGAAGTTCCGTTGCTTCGCATGGTTCGTTGACTCACTTCATGTGCTTGTCAATATCGATTAAGCTTCTGAGACTCGAATAGTGACGTTTATCGTCTTCTATGTGCCTCGAGCTGCGTGTGAGGGCCCGTGTGCAATTTTAGACGCCTACAATTTTCTTAATATTTTATAGAATAGCCTAATTTTTTGAGTAAATTAGGAATATTTGGAAGAGATATTCACGAGTTTTTAAATATTTTTATATACTTATTTTGTGGATGCTTTTTATCATATAAAATTATACTAGAGTCAGCATTAATATTTAGTTTATAGTTTTTAATGAAGTCTATCAATGATTAGAAATAAAATCCATATTTTCTTTTGTACCATTTTAGCCACTTCTAATCAATTGTCTAGGCTTATTGGCTTTAATTATTCTTCTTGCTATTATAATGTTATTTTTCAAATATTTTTTTACTTTTGCAACACTATACTTACTTGGGTAAAGCTTCATTTCATGTCAATCCAAATAACATGAATATTCAAATTGGCTTCACGTTGATTTCATGTCAATTTAATTATCAACATGAAACTTAAATGTGGTGTAGCCTATTCAAACAAACATTAAAGAAAATAAGTAATCACAATATTAAAATTTAGAGACATAAGTGAGCAAAAACTATCAAATTGAAATCGAAGAACAAATTTTAGTAAGGAAATAAACTAAAAATAAACAATTATAATATTTAATTACATGCAATGTACGTGCATAAAAACTAGTTTGGTGAAACGTGCGAGTCTTACATAAGACATATGGGTGAACATAAGACATATGGATGAAAAAGCAGCAGATATTCATTGATCAATTTGTGCGGAGAACCAAAGTAGAATTATCTTGCAAACCCGAAGCCTGCCTCAGTCCAAGTCTCTCGCACATGCATGTATCTGTCTTCCCTTGGAATGTGTGAGTCCTACATTAAATATGAATATACGAAAGATCCAAATGCATAACTTAAATGAGGATCTACCAATACAGGAGAGGTCCATAACATAGATAAATGTAACTTTCACTCTGTCAGAATTAAAATAAAACTATAATCCTGATTCTCACTATAACTTTAAAGTTTTGATGTAATTGTTAGAGGGACTTAATTTAAGATGGTATCAAAGAAACCGGGTTCAAGTACTGTTGGCCACGAATTTTAAGCTGCTTCTCTAAAAATTGACATCGCTGCGTGAGTTTAGGTTTCAGCTCATAAAAAAGGCAACAATTTGGGGACAAGAAGAAAGAGAGACAATATTCAATTTCCCAATAAGGAATTATTAGTAGGGCATCACACAATATTTATTTTCGTATTCGTGGCAATGAGTCAACCATGTCCTAACTTTCCTTTTTTGCCTATAAATCTCAATAGTACCATCCTCTTGTCTTCCAAGTAATGCAATTTACTTGCTTTGTTGGTTTGCTGGTTTCAAGTTTTCATTACTCAATATTATGGCTAGTTTAAGTTTGACTACAAAACCCAATGCATTTGCTTTCAGTGGCGCATTGCGATTATTGATAACAAAGAAGAAGAAGGATGTTGTACCAGTCTTTTGTTCTTGCAACAATGGCAATGACGTGAGAAATGAATACATGCTGGCAACAAAAGGAAGTAAAAGTGAGGTATCGCATGTTGTTCCTTCTAAAGGAACAAATCCTACTTATCCCACAAAGGATCTTGACGAAGGAATCGGCATCATTAGATTCTTGAAAGGAAAGCATCTTTTCATCACAGGTGCAACTGGATTCTTCGCGAAAGGTAAGGTTGATGTTTATATATTGAACTACTATAACCTCTTTCCAATCTAATTAGTTTCCCTTCAACTGTCATGTCTTCAGTTCTGATAGAGAAGATATTGAGGATGATGCCAGACATTGGCAAGATTTATGTGCTCATCAAAGCTAAGAACAAGGATGCTGCAATGAGCAGGCTAAAGAGTGAAGTAAGAACTCTTCAATGATTACAAAGTTGATGCTCGATATTTCCCCTTTTCCTTTATCTTTTTCATGATTTTTATCTAACATTTCATTGTAGATAATAAATTGCGAAGTCTTTAGCTCTTTGAGGGAAATCCATGGAAAGGATTATGAGGACTTCATGATAAGGAAGCTTATGCCAGTGGTAGGGAATGTGATGGAAGCTCGACTAGGAATGCAAGGTGGATTAGCAGATGAGATTTCTGAAGAAGTGGATGTTATTGTAAACTCAGCAGCAAACACCACGTTTGATGAGAGGTATTCTTCTTTTCTATAATAATAACTGTAAATGATGAAGGAAAAGTCTACATCATGTGTTGTATGTTTTTACCGAGTGTGGTTGAAAAATTATAGATATGACGCGGCACTGGACATAAACACCATGGGCCCTTTTAGGCTGATGAGTTTCGCGAGGAGATGCAAGAAACTAAAACTCTTTGTTCACGTATCAACCGGTGAGTGCACGCATATACATAAATAATGGTGTGTGTGTGTGGTGTGTGGTGTGGTGGGGGGGGGGGGGTGTGATGATCATTGCGTAGCGTGCTTGATCTATCGCTCATAAATTTATTTTATGACAGCATATGTGAATGGGCAAAGGCAAGGCAGGGTATTGGAAGAGCCTCTCTCAATTGGAGACACCATTGTCCCAGAGACTATTGTTTCTTCCGATGTTTCAGAAAAATCCATCCCATTTTTGGACATCGGAACTGAAATGAAGTTGGCTTTTTCTTCAGCTGGTCGCACTACTTCTGGTGCATCTTCGACTCAGGATATGAAAGATCTTGGTCTAACAAGGTTGGTCAGTTATTTTGTCATATATTGCGTCAGTCATCCTATTGAAATAATAATCAGTTATCTGCTAAGTAAATTTCCATAATGCCTACATGAAATTTAACTGAAAAGGGCAAACACGCATGGATGGGCAGACGCCTACACGTTCACGAAGGCTATGGGAGAAATGGTGATAAATAGCATGAGAGGAGATATTCCCATCGTTATAGTAAGGCCTAGTATTATTGAAAGCACCTTTAAAGAGCCTTTCCCTGGATGGATTGAAGGGAGTAGGTAATCCCAAAAAACTCTTTTACGATTTTGGTTTTTGTCTTGGTGAAAACTCACCGCATATGATCACTTATTTTCTTCCATGCGCGCATGTGCAAACAACCTATACGTATATATCACTGACAATATTTATTTCCTACTCTATTAAAGGATGATGGATCCACTCGTTCTCTACTATGGTAAAGGGAAGATAGCCGGCTTTGTTGGTGATCCTAATGGTGTTCTCGATGTTGTAAGTATAGTCATGCCGTAATTAATCATATTTTTTGTGGCATAATACAAAAAGTTTTAAACATGATAGCCTGGGGTGATCTTTAAACACTCTTAGTTGTGTCTTTTGTATTACTCACTTGAGTTATATTTTAATTTGGCACAGGTTCCTGTTGACATGGTGGTGAATGCAACGTTGGCTGCCCTTGCAAAGCACGGGCAGCGCATGGAGAATGGGATGCAAATATACCACGTTGGTTCATCCGTTGCGCACCCATTACTCATCAAAGACCTTGTATCGTCTTTTTATGAGCACTTCGAAGCTACTCCTTGTTTCGATTCCAATGGGAAGCCTATTGTAGTCTCACCATTTAAGCTGTTCATCGACAAAGCTGATTTCTCGACCAACAACTTGAATGATATTGTCGGAAGCGGTAAAAGTGGAGTTGATGGGGTTTCAGAAAAGCATTCTCAGAGAACGAAGAGTGTGCTCGTGAAATATGTGGAGCAACTCAAATATTTAGCAACTCTATATGAGCCTTACACTTTCTGTGCTGTAAGGTGAGTTTTCTTTGGCCTATATATGTATTGATTAAGAAAACCAGTGTCTACACTACTTCTGGCCATGGATGCTTACATCCGTTACATGATTAATTTCTCTCCTATATATTCTAATAAGCTCGAAATCTCCGGACATTCAAACATTTGTAAAACTCTATAAATCTATATATAAGTTCGTTACAATTTTGTACCAGGTTCGATGACACAAATACTCGAAAGCTGATGCAGGAGATGTCCAAAGAGGAGATGCGGAGCTTTGATTTTGATGTGCGAGGCATTGCCTGGGATGATTACATTGCCAATGTCCATATCCCGGGATTGAGGAAGTATGTCATGAAGGAAAGAGGCGTAAATGTTGTTTCTGATGCAGAAAAATAATTGCTCTGGTGTTGGTGTTCCACTGTTTTCATTTCCTTTGTATTAAATAAAAAATATATATATGAATAAAAATACGAGAAGGATATACAAATATTCTGTGAACATATGTTTGCCTTATTAGATTATTATTTATCCGATTTATATATGAATATTGTTGGATAGCAGGTTCCTAATATGTTTCCTAATTTATTTTGGTAACAGCTTATTGAGATTCCAAATCTGTTTTGGTAACAGGTTATTAGAATTCCTAATCTGTTTTGTTTTTTGTTTTAGAATTCCTAGTATGTTTATGATTTTAGGATTTCTATATATATAGAACAATTGAGTAGAAAATTAGGGATATTTGGAGCACAGAAAAAAGGTATTTTCTGAGCTATTGGTTAGGGTTTTGTTTGGAGAGAATTAGAGATTTGTTGGTGAGATTAATTAGTGAGTTTGAGTGATTTGTAATCTCAGTTTGTACTCTTTTTCTCTATTAGTGAAAAACTCTATCCCCTTCTTGCCCCGTGGACGTAGGTACCTTGCCGAACCACGTTAAAATTTGTTGTTTGTGTTTGTGGCATTAATTTGGTTCGTTTGGCCTTCTCTCGATGTTCGTTTGATTTGATTTCTCGTAGCACGTTGATTTGATTGTTTGGCTTCCGTAGCGCTCAACAAGTGGTATCAGAGCTCTGGCTACGCTTGAGCTATTTGGAGGAGTAGGTCATTTTAGAGGCTCGCCTAGGGCTTCGTTTGGTGATAAATGTGGGATCTTTTTGGTAAAGACTCTATCTTTTTTAGTTTTAGATCTATTCTTCATTTTTTCCGTATTTGTTTTGGTGCTTTGAGAAAGATGGTCAGGAAAGAAGGAGTTATGGAGGGTACTTTTGGCGTGAAGACCGTCCAAAGTTTGAATATCCACTCTATGAAGATAGATGTGGAGAAGTTTAATAGCACAAACAATTTTGATCTTTTGAGATGTGAAGTCTTGGATGCGCTCAATGTGTAAAATTTAGAAGATACTTTGGAGTTAGACGGGAAACCGGACGACATTGAGGAGAAGGTTTGGAAAAAAATGAATAGAACGACGTGTGATGTGATTACATCTTGTTTGACTCAAGATTTAAAATATAATGTGATCAATGAGACTTCAACTAAGAAGATTTGGGAGATCCTAGAGGGCAAGTATTTGATCAAGAGTGTAGAGAACTGCTTGCATTTGAAGAGGAGGCTTTATTGCTTCCAATTGAAGAAGGGAACCTCCATTGGTGATCACATGAACCACTACACGAAGCTTCTTACGGATTTGACGAATGTAGATGTGATGATTGAAGATGAGGATAATGCATTGTTGTTGTTGAGTTCCTTGCCTGACGAGGAATATGAGACCTTCGTTCTTACTCTTATTAATGGGAAGACATCTCTTTTTATAGTGAGGTCACCGCTACACTTATGAATTATCAGCTTCGAAAGAAGGATAAGAAGACCTTAGTTGAGCCGGTAGCGGGGGCATTGGTCGCAAGAGCAAAGGGTCCAAACCGTGGTAGGAGGTCACAGTCTAGAGGGGCACATCTTGGAGTTCATAGGAATCAGTGTGTTTTTTTAAAGAGGATGGACATTGGAAAGTCAAATGCCCAAAGTTGGTTGATCGTGCCGGGAATAATAAGGGGAAAGCTATTCAAGCTTCAGAGGTGAATGTTTTCAAGGCTAGTGTCAATAATTCAGATTCGGATTTTTTGAGCTACTCGTTATCTATACTACCGTCAGTTTGTGTTGCCGACTCTACAGAGTGGATATTGAATTCGGGTGCTTCTTATCATATTTTCCTTAGAAGGGATTAGTTCTCCAGCTTTTAGGAGTTGGAAAGAGGGGGGGTCGCGCTCATGGGTAATGATCATGAATGTCCTATTGGTGGTATCGGTACCATTCGGATTAGGATGAGTAACGCAGTGATTCGGGAGTTGGTTGGAGTGAGGTTCGTTCCTCAGTTGAAGAAGAACATCATTTCACTTGGAGTTTTAGAGGCAGCAGGCTATAGAGTGATCTTGGTCGATTCACGTTTGAAGGTCATATTGGGGTCCATATTTGTGATGAAGGGTGTTAGGAGGAATAATTTGTATTATTTGATTGGGAGCATGGTGTTTGATAGAGAGCTGACGACTTATTTGGATTTGGCTAGATTGTGGCATTTGTTAAGGTTGGGTTATTTGATTGGTTATGCCATGCATGGTTTATTGAGGAGTGCTTTGATCTACAGATTGAAGTCTTTTGAGCACATTTGTATGAGCAAGAAGACCGAGGTGGAGTTTGGCACTTCTATCCATCGATCGAGGGGTCTTTTAGATGGTGTTCAGTCAGGCATTTGCGGGCCTTCTAAGGAGGCATCATTAGGAGGTAATTGGTATTTAGTTTCTACAGTTGGGGATTGATCTAGGCATTAGTGGGTTGCAACCAGGTCCCATTGGTGTGAAATCCTAGAAGTCAACAATAATTGGAAGAAGTGTATTGGCAGAAAGGTAAACCGTCGTTCTAGCTTTGGTCGGGGTTCTTTCTTGCATTTGTGCTGAGCTCATGACAGTTTGAGACACTTTATTGATGTGGAGATATTAGGACGACGAGATGAGATGATAATTTTGATGGATCGTTCCTTACTAGAGGGAGATCGGCGTTGGTTGTCGAGTATTGGTTTTGGTTTTGGAGCTTCGACATATTTGGGTCATCTTGGTCATAGGTTGCTGACTGCTGCATGTGGAGATTTTGGATCTGGTGGAGCTGCTTCAGATTTTGGGTTGCGTCGGATATATGGTTGCCCAGCATTTGGTCACATCGAGGATGTGAGATTTGATCTGATTGCACGTTTGGGATTCAGAGGTTCGTTTGATTATCAGTTAGGAGCTTCTAATTTTGTTCTGAGCAGGTATGTCACATTTAACTCTCGGCAGGTGCTGGAGGAGGATCAGTATTGGTTGTCGAGCATTAGATTACAGAGGAGTTTTCGGGCTTCGACATATTTAGGTCATCTTAGTCATAGGTTGTCGACTACTGCGTGTGGAGATTTTGGATCTTGTGGAGTTGCTTTAGATTTTGGGTTATGTCGGATGTTTGGTTGCCCAGCATTTGGTCACATCGAGGATGTGAGATTTGATCTGATTGCACGTTTGGGATTCAGAGGTTCGTTTGATTATCAGTTAGGAGCTTCTAATTTTGTTCTAAGCAGGTATGTCACATTTGACTCTCGGCAGGTGGAGAGTGTTGATCAGATCATTGGGATATCGTAGCGGGTGGAGAGTGATGCTACTTCACATTGGGTGGAGATTACTCCACATACTCTAGATCATACTGCATCATTTGGGATTCTAGCTGAGGTGACACAGTTTGGAGATCATTTTGATTTGGATACAGATGATGAGTTGGTTTTGGATTCGAGTGCAGCTGGTGGACATGTTTTGAATACGACCATTGGTTCATCTTAGGTGGAGGTGTTTGATTTGTTTCAGTTTAGGGCCATTGGGAGCGCTATCAATTGCAGATATGTTGGTGATATTGGTGAAGAGTTGCAAACTTTTCTATTTGATTGAGGGTCTTTGGAGGTCGTTTGGGTGAACTACGTGAAGGCTTGATTCCTTGAGCAAGAAGATATATAGGCAGTCATTTATGATGCAGCCGGTTTGGTGAGTTGATACCGATATTTAAAGTTTGTTCGCATTCTCGTTTGGGTACTCGACTTGTTGTGGATTAAGTCCGTTGTCGTGGATTTGTTCCACTTTGTACTAGATGCAACAAGTGAGACGTTTGGTTGGTATTGGTGTCGGCTCAGTTTTGGAAAAACTTCACCGAGGTGGAGAATTGTTAGATAGCAGGTTCCTAATATGTTTTTTAATTTGTTTTGGTAGTAGGTTATTGTGATTACTAATCTGTTTTGGTAACATGATTCCAAATCTGTTTTGGTAACATGTTATTAGGATTCCTAATCTGTTTTGTTTTTTTGTTTTAGAATTCCTAGTATGTTTATGATTTTAGGATTTCTATATATATGGAACAATTGAGTAGAAATTTAGGATATTTGGAGCACAGAAAAAAGGTATTTTCTGAGCTATTGGTTAGGGTTTTGTTTGGAGAGAATTAGAGATTTATTGATGAGATTAATTGGTGAGATTAATTGGTGAGTTTGAGTGATTTGTAATCTCAGTTTGTATTCTTTTTCTCTATTAGCGAAAACTCTATCTCCTTCTTGCCCCGTGGACGTAGGCAACTTGCCGAACCACGTTAAAATTGGTTGTTTGTATTTGTGGCATTGATTTGGTTTGTTTGGCCTTCTCTCGACATTCGTTTGATTTGATTTCTCGTAGCACATTGGTTTGGTTGTTTGGTTTCCGCAGCGCTCAACAAATATATCTTGCATGTATTAGTAATAGTATATTATGCTCATCCGTACCATTTATAGAAATCATTTTGCAACTCATATAACCGACACAATTAATCTTTTGAGTTGCTTTATACGTTATAGAACCTTAACAAGCCATTCCACCCATGATCAAATCATCCCACAAAATGAATATTTTTATTTTCGTCTCATTTGATACCATGATCAAACAGGGGGAAAAAATAAAAAAAAAATTTAATTTTTAATCCTTCTAAATCCTTTATACCCTTTCCTAAAATTTTCTACATGGATCCATCTCATTAGTTCTAAAATATGATATGGTTCTATTTTATATCCTCCTCTTATGTGTGCGTTCCACATGTTTTTACCATTAGTTTTCAATTAGCTCCCCGTGGTAATGTTTATCACTGTATTTGTTACCAATGTAAGGAATCTAGTCGACTTAGATTCTGAACAAAAAGCTTAATCTTTTTTTAGGGTTTTGTGAAGAATCTTAATTTAATTAATGGTGAATCAATCAAAGATGAAATAGCATCAATGCAAGCAAGAAGATGGATATCAGTAGATCCCCAAAGCACTCATACTCTATTGGATAAATCTAATAAATATTTATATCAGCATCATAGCCATCAACTAAGATGTAAATATAAAATTAGGGTGGAATTTGACATGTTGTTCTTGTCAAGATAGCTTTGTGATCTGATAGATTGGACA